TCAAGAGCCAGAAATACGTCGACTTCAGGAACGACTGACACCAGCTGCATGCCAAGTACTGGAGCGACACCTGCGCACTCCTATAACGGAGTTTGTAATGTCTGTTGACTTATTCACGGCTGTGGACGCAACAGGCACTTACAATGTACACCGTGATACCATGCTCTGCTCCTGTTCACTTTTCATTGCAAACGGATTGCCATGTCGTCACATATTGGCTTACTGTACACACAATGCGCAGTTGTCGCTTCAGTACTTGACATGCAGCTGGTGTCAGTCGTTCCTGAAGTCGACGTATTTTTGGCTCTTGACTAATGTTGGCTTTTATCCGACAATCTGATGTAATATTTCTGTCATCTTGCTTCCATCCAATATCCAGTGCGAAGTAGCACACTGAAAATAGATCTCAACACCGGTGTTTTTCGATTCAGCTGATGCACCTTCAAAATTCGATGACTTGTCTCAATGAAGTCCGTATTATTTAGTTGAAGTAGCGTTGCTGATGGTCGAAAAGCAGTAGACCATTTGTGTTTTCTCGGTAGTAGGTGGTCTCTAACATATCGGACAAACGTTCCGTCGGATATTTCGATTAAGGATAATACATTGTTAAAACTGCAAAATAATGTTATGTAGCTTTTGATTTACCTTTCAACCGTTCGAGTGAACATCAGGCGAAAAAAAAGTTATATCACTTCTGATCGTACCCTCTACAATTACGGTTAATGGGTTAATGTTAATGAACGAAACACTTACCCTCTTTATAACATTGCGAACAAGGTGTACACGACACAAAATATGGTGAGCATTTGGATACACCTGCGTGATGGCAGCAGCTATTGCAGGTGAATCATCCGTCACAATGCCTACCACCTGTCGACTGTTGGTTGACCGTTGGAAAAACAACAGGAATCGAGAAATAAAAGTCGATGTTTCGCGACTTATAAATGAAATACAAACAGGTATTGCCTTAAAATTCATATCAAGGGCGACGACCTGATATAAATAGATGTTCTCGTTATTCGTCTTGTATGCCCCGTCCAAACCAATAACATCAAAGAAACGACCTGCCAAAATCATTTGATCACCAGTCGTGAAGAAAAAAATACGATAGACAGTTATCATCGTCTAATTCGTATTCGCAAAGCCCACCCAAAGATGTTATATGAGCTTCTAATTTTCCGTAATCACCTATCGTTTACATTATAAATTGGCAAATTGCTTACCAGGAAGGTTCGCGTGTGAGAACACTTTGTACCGCACATTAAAGATATCTTGATCATTCAGACGTTTCCCATAAGAATGGTAAGCATAATTCTTAATGTGGAATGCAGCGGTACCAGATATCAGCAGCGGTCGCACAGTTTCAAACTCGGCCTCCGTTAACCTGCGCACCTATGAATTACTTTGATATCTCAGGGAATTGCACTCGTGATTGTGATGCACATTCCCACGTACAACAGTCCAGTAGCCGTCTATAATCTTACAAAACATGAAGGCCGGACATTGAGTGTTCATGGAAGCCCTTCGTGAAGAAAATTATAATAACATTAACCAAATTACCTCCTCCATCTAATCCGTTGTGACGAACCGCTAGATCTTATACGGCTATTTCTCCAATACACAAATCTAATATACGAATTTTCATCTCTGCCCAAATACGAATCTCTCACTACACAATGACAGTAAGTCGATCTTTCATAATTTGTGATAGCGGACTTCAACGCTTCAAGCGATGGGAACGCAACGAGAAACAATGTTGTCAAAAAGACTTCCTCCGTTTCTGTTACGTGAGAAACAACAGTGCTTGCACTCGGCACGTAATGATGATTAAAATGTACTTCGTTGACAAGTACTGATATTTTATAACAATTCGACAAGACATAACTAACCAATTAAGACGAATTTTAAAACTAGCCATTTCATTGGACGAAACGGGATGAAAAATATTGTAATTTTGGGGTTGAAAAAAATTTTAATAGGGGGGATTTTTTAAAAAAATTTTACAAAAATTGCCGGGTGGATAATGAAAACCCTACTTTTCGTTTCTTTATTTAATAAAAAGTAGGATGACGCTTAATAAACTTAAGGATGAAACCAGTAAAATCTTACAATCGTTAAAGGTAAAGCTAGGATCATCATTATGGTTCATGTTATATCCAAAGAGCTGTAACCCTTGAAGACTCTATACTTCCAAAGATTCACAAGAATAATACTCCACTAAGAGCAGGAATCGATTTTACAAATTCACCGACATACAATCTGGCGAAATACTTAACTAGGATATCTAAACCGTATGGTAAACTGATTAATCATAGAGTTAGAGATTCTGGAATTCAAGAATATTATCGATACCATCGATATAGAAGAGGATGAAATATTGGTAAGTTTTGATGTATCTTCCTTATTTACTAATGTATCTATCAATAGTGTTGGATATTGTTTGATTGTTTAGAATCTGACTCAGATTTGAATTTACTATGCCTATTAGATACATCTGACGTTATCAAATACTTGGAATTATGTCTAAGGTCCACCTAATTCGTATTTCGAGGAGACCTTCGCAGACAAAAAGCAGGTATAGCAAGGGGTTCATTAGTTTCTTCGATTGTAGTGAATTTATTCATGCATTCAATACAAACCAGTACAATCGCGAGAAGTGTGTCATTTTTGTGACATTTTTATCATCACTAAGTGGGATGGTTTGGAAGAATTGTTTGGAGATGTAAACGACATTTCGGAGAGCATTAAACTAACGAAGGAAATAAAATTCAGTGACCGCAATCTAGCGTTTCTCGATTGTTTGGTTGGACGAAGATATAATAATAAGTTGAAAATAAATGTATTTAGGAAATCAACACATTCTGAGAGATACTTAGATTATGGTTCGGCTCACACGCTATGTACGAAAGTCACTGTTGTAAAAAAATTAATCAACAGAAGTATTAAGCTCGTTACAGATAAGGAAGACCAACAAGTTGAACTGAATAGTTTTGTTTACACCTAAGGATAACAACTATCCAAAAGAGTTGTTAAAGATTATTAGAAATGAAAGAAAAATGAAACTAGAATGTATACCGAAAGATTGGAAGTTCACCGTGGTCATTTCATACCGCAGTGAAACATCGGGAGAAATCAAGAGGACTCTAAACAAACATGACATAAGTGTATTTTCGGGCGTGTAACACCATAAGATCGGCATTAGTGAAGGTTAATGATAGGTTCCCAAAGGAAGAACAACAAAATACTGTCTATGAGATTAACTGCCATGATTGTAATGCAGCTTATGTGGGAGAAACATCCAGACAATTGAATACGAAAATTCCAACCCCCTTTGTGTAATCAAAAACAGTTTGTTCTCACCTTAAACCTACCCTGGTAATATTAGCTCATTATCCAGAGCGATGAGGTTTCAGATTGTTTTCACATTATTTCCTTATTATCTCTGACTCCTCTAACCCTTCACTTCTAGTCTAGTTGACCTTTTATTTTTATATATAAATGTTCTTAACAAGTATATGTGTGATCAGATGGATCGAAATGTATTGCGCTAATATATCACATAGTTCAATTGCTGAGATTATCTTAAATATAATTTTCACATGTCTTCTCTATATTCGGCGCCCAATTTTTTTCAAACTATTAAATTCTATTGATGACGAATATTCGTATAAACGAGTTAAGAATGTTTAAGCTGTCAACCTTTTTAAATCTAAATATTTTGTGGTAACTATTGATGGCTCAAATGAGAACGTCTACGAACCTCTAGTTAGAAGCCATGAAATTAGTCATGCGTGGAGTGAAACGGATGTTCATCGGATGACACTAAACGATACTCACGATTTATCTCATATTGATAAGAGTTACAAACTATGAGTCATTGAGTTCTAATATGGTGATTCAAGAATATCGTGGTCATCACGAGACTTGGAAGCCGATTGACTTGACCCTGTATCGGTCGATAATACACACTGTCATGTTGTCTCAAGGTTGGATAAAGTGAATACTAATTATTCATCAGTTTCCAGTAGGATTGTAGCAGGTATCCATGATGAAAACTACATCTGAATTATATGAACATCGACAAGACTTTAATTTGATATAGATATTTGCGGTTGCGAACCGTATTGCCCGTTAATTTCTTCTAGTATCACAATGTTTGACTGAATGTACAGGGTGTATGAATCCAACAAAGTATTACGTCATTATTTTAGTCGTTTGTTAAAAGAATAGTTTTCGCTCTGTCTTAGTGTTGTATAGTATCTCATCTGTGCTTTTTGCTTCCGGACTTCTTTTCGATTGGTGATCACTATCGTACGGCTTTCTTGTTATTGCTTACCATTTTAGGAATCGCTTGGAACAACTAGTTCACAATGTAATCTTTTAATACCAACAAAAAAGAACTCTTCATCATTTCTGTCTGCACTAAAAGTACCAGTAAGTTTGTGTGTAGTGAGGATGTATTTAGCTAAAAGCAATGGCCTTGTCATGTGTTCCAACCAACCATGACACATCAACACATTGAGATGAAATTGACAAGATGAACAACAAAGGAGTCGAAATAATAGGAGCATTACTGATTGTAAACAAAACCATATACAGACAACACGGCTTGAAAATGAGCACACGTGAAGCAAACGATCCAGTTAATCCATGTAAATGAATTCATAGACAAACATATTCACACTTACTTATTGGTTTATTTTTTTAAACAATATAATAATACATAAACGCATCACAGAATAAACTAGAGACAAACCGATAAGATGGATTAATCTAAGTGTTAATTCACTTTCCACCTACTTCAAAATCTACCAAGTAATTCTAACAGGCAATAGTGAGTATACAAACATCTAAACGTATATGATACTAAATAATGAAGATTACTAAGTCAATATTAGCTCAAAATGAGAGATTACCGCACTGTAAATATACTAAAGAAATTACTACGACAACCCCATAACCGAAAATTTTTTATACACATGTTATTAATGTCTGCTTACCTGAGTGACTGCATAGTAAGCAAACGAGTGAACATTGAAAAAGTATCCAAGACCAAAGGCTATTGTCGTCACACCAGAAAGAAGAGTACCAATGCATAGGTAAATTCTAAGGTCAATTTTATCGGCAACATGTCCACTATAATAAAATTCATATATATATATGGGAAAAAGAATAGGTTATACTGAGACCATACTCAATCAATCAGTCATTGAAAATGTGTAATCTGGTACGTATGTATATTGGTTTGAGTTCCCACACCCAATAAGCACAGAAAGATTAAACTATCAGGCCAGGCACCCGAAGAGTAGAGGTAGTAATAGTATGAGCGGTGATAGAAAAGATTAGACATCAAAGATACCATTCGAGAAAATATAAATTAGTGAAACAAAAGAGTTATAGCGAATTCAAAAGCTCAGGATTTCAGGGACGACAAAGGGTGAGTGCACTTACAACACGGTAAACGATTCTGAGCCATATCATTCAAAGTCTCTGATCATTGGTTACGATAACTTCGTTGACCAAGAGTATATCCAACTGCCTGACAACTTAATTTGAGTCTCAATAGGAAAATGAAGGGCTTCGTCATACTTTCCAATATGTAATCGTCATATTTCTAACGTGACTTCAGTTTAATGAATACAGAACGAACTGGAAAGATGGAAGGTGGTTAAACTCACCTTGGAAATGCTATTGTAACACCCTTATGTAGTAGGACCTTTGCACACATTTAAGTCCTTTTTATCAAAACATGTTTTGCAACTTGAAGTTTGTTCTACAAATTGGTGGTTTTTGGTTGGCTTAGTTTTTGAGCTAAACATGAAGCTGAAAATGTTTGGCAACACCTAAAGAAATGACCCTAAAATGAATATTTTCACAAATGTTTTTAAATGATGGTTTAGGATTGACCTAGCTTAACATTTACGCTAATATGTGAAGTTATTAAATGTCATATTTCCTCCACTTATTTGAGAATTGTTAATCCTAACCACATTGTGACCAGTGAAAGCTTATTAGGAATGAACGAACTTCTTCGTTATTTGTTAACTTTCCTTACACGTAACGTTCGAGACAGCGATTTTCTCTAAATAACTAGTATGCCAAGCTGCAGTAGTTCTTCCAACTCTGGTTGCAAGGTATAACCGTTGATGGCAAAAAAACGAGAGGTTACATATAGCTTATCATGTGCTTTGCAAAAACTGTTCACGTAGTGAAACTACAGACAAAAATGCTTGACTGGGACGCGGACTTCTAAACAGAGAAGCACTAAACTGTACATAATTTACTGTAAGCATGTTTAGACGTTTCCAAACTTCATGACAGATCATTTTGAAGGGCACGTTAGTAGTAAATCAACATCACAGGAAATAAATGGAAGACTGCTTTTGAACACTGAAGGACAAGTTTGATTGTTGGAGATTTTCATGATACGAATTTTGCTAGACTTTGATTTTGAATGGGAAAACCTGTTTAAAAACCACTTATCTAGTCGTTATTAGTCTTCTGTTCCTGATTGTCATTCCTTGAAAAAATGCTTAATCTACAGCTACTAAAATATTCAGTTGTCAGAAACGATGTAGTGACAATCTCTGAACGCTGCAGTTACTTATACTAGCGAGCCGTCGTGACACTATGAGATTGGGATAACTGATTTTCTATATGTTGCAAGGTAGCGAATATCGTTTGATGTAAGTGCCCCACAACCCCCTAATATGGCCAAGAGTGGAGAGAGTTCGCTCTCCCTCTCAAAATTCTCTCATATAACCACACAAATAAAGCCACTGCCGGGAAATTTCTACTCACTGCTTTCTCGCCGCGGTGGAGTTGTTTACGGAAGTGAGAGGACAGAAAGTGAATATCTGGAAGCTAAACCGATTTGGTGGGTACGGCGGATCCACCTAAAGAAGTTTGCAAAACCTGATTCCAAGTCAGAGGTGTACACAGGCTTCAGGATCCTGGGAGGTCGAGTGGTGGATGAACTTATTCTTGGCTAGTGATTACCATAAGATCGCATCTGACTCAGTTTCACTGCATTGTGGATTAGACCTCTAGGTCAAGGGCTCGGGAGATGACCCCTAAGAAAAACAACCTTTGGTTTGGGCACTCGGAGAGTATCCCAGCCCACATAAATTGAATGATAACCACTTAGTGGGACACATTTTTAGGTGACCCTTCGTATGAATGTTTATGTGTCCAAATAAAGTACGACTGATGGAAGTAGGAGCTAGATCTTTAGAAGAAGACAAGTATTCAATGATGTGAATTAGGGCATTGTGGAATCATGACTACTACGGTATTTTTCTCACTAAAAAAGAACGTTGTTTCTTCAACACTTCTCACGACTCATGTATTCGTCTTAACCTAATCACAAACCAAATACAGATTTACAACTCTAGATTTGAACCCCACTAGTATGATGGATAGCGATACAACCAAATTTCTCAACCCGAAATAGGTGGAATGAGGGCCAGAACCATGGCTTACCAGTTGATAACCGAGCGACTGACCATGAACTCACTGTTCCTACAACAGCTTGGTTTTGTCAATAACCTCACAAATATTTCACTTTCATAAAAGCCACTTAAAAACACCCCCTGTCCATAAATCTCTTGTAAACACTTGTCTTTTAGCGCTGTTCAAAAACTACTCAGCTCTTGCACTACACCGATTATACATTGTTATATGCTGTCCGCTTCATTGTGCAAGACTGAAAAAAGATAGTTCTTGAAAGTGATTCTGCGGTAATAGGCAAATTCAGTAACCGAAAACATTGTCTAAGAAATTTCAATCCATGGGACCAATAAAAAAGTAAGTCCGTACTACCGTGTCAGCATGTTTACAAAAATGAATCACCAACTTACCTTAAGAACATACTAACGGCGTAAAAGGAGAGGAAAATAAGATCAAGTGTTCCAAAAAGGGAATCATAATTTTGACCATCTAACACAAGGAGTAAGACTCAAAGCTGTCAGTTTATGAACACATACCAAAAGGGGCCCAGTCACAGAATGTTTCGTTTCCAGGAACTATGATTTTCCCCTCTTTGTGGGCTTCTTCAGAACAATTCTGATGAAGTACTGACTTTACAATACTAATCGGTTTTCGGGATAAGTGATAGCACGAGTATATCACCAAAGTGAAGAAAAATATATGCACGCGACCACTAAAATTTATAGGATGGTGACAAAGCAAATAATTACGTTTTCGAGTTAAGCGGTGGCAGAAATCTTTGGAGATGCTTTACTCCCGGTGCCAAACTCACCATTTGAAGATGACTGACCGACAACAATCAGCACTTACACAACCGTGAGGTAGAAACAACCCAACAGTCAAAACTAAGAGTTGGTGGAGTAACGTTTTGAAACTAGTGATAATGGCCTTGACAGGGATTTTCACATTCTTGGATCCAAATTCCAACCGCTTCGTGATGAGCTTATGTAAATCCACTGCTTCTTCTGTCTTCGCCTCTTGTTGTTTTTGTGCGCTTTTAGGCCTTTTGCAGTGTTCAGTGAGTGACAGTCTAGCCACTCGACTTTACTATTTCTACTCAGTTTGGTATCTAGTTTATTATTATTATTACTAATGGCTTGGATTTGTACATCATCTAATGATAGTGAGTGGGTTTTTCTCAGATCACTTGAGGTTTCTTGAACCAGGAAATGTCACATTACCAGACAGCAGGTTAGATGATTGCAATGTGAGAAATAATATGACGAAAACTCTAGTGCTAAAAATGAACAACCGCTTCAAGGAGTAAGTAAATAAACAGGTTAGTAAATTAGCAATGGAAACATCGTGAGCAAACCATAGTGTAGGAAGAAAAGGGGAGACGGAGTTGACAGTGAGTGAGGTAGAAATAAATTAATGACATTTGATAGCGATAGTAGTAAATAAGTTACGAGACATGCATCCAGCACAGCTAGTCAAAGTGATAAATGGTAATCTATGGGTGAGCGTGTGTCCGTCAAGTCTCTTCTTGTAGGTATGCGCTGAGGAGGCTGCGATCATTTCGGTTGTGAGAACACTCCAAATAGGAAAGACTCAAAGTGAGAAAAAATGAGAGTGTGACCGAGCTTTCTCTCCTTGATGTGCAGTTTTCCGGTGGTTGGTTTGCTAAGCATGCTCATAATGTTCTGGTGGGATGCACGTGTTGGGGCGACTTGGCATACTCATACGTTGTACATCATTATCAGATCACCACACACTCTCTTATAGCTCAGCGAGAATAATTCCAAATGTCGTAGTCTGTCTATGTAAGATTATTCTTTGACCTGTTTGGTTGTCGGTCTTTATACTTGGTTTGTGACACATGTCTCGTTCGAAGTGTGGAGACCCAATATTGTGGACTTTGGAGTAATGTTTTGGGTACGTGTTAATGTGGAGGAAACAATTCTGGGGCGAGTGTACCAAGTTGTCTTTGCATAAAGTGAAGAGATGCATCCTGAATGTAGTTTCAGATGGCGTCTAAGCTCTCTGTAAAAGTAGCCCGAGATCATATAGGTTTCAAGATACACATGAAAATACATTGCGTGTGAGCAAAAATGGGAGATGTCGCTTTTCTACAGTGCTGAACGCATTGTATTTGGAAATCTAATCAGCCACTGAATAAGAATATGGAGTAGTCATCACTTATTACAAATACTATACACGGATAAGTTTCCTTAGATCTCCAGTTAAGATTAAACGTTATAGCCTTAATATTTATTCAATTGTTTATTTTATGTGGGCATTGTAATTTTGATTATACTATATCGGATAATAAAATGTTCATGTGTCATAATACAGGTTTCGCGCGCTTGATTTGTTAAATATCTTGGTATTAAAATTATTCTAACCTCCCTAAAGCCTTTGCACATCACTTAGAGGGAGTGTAAGTCATAGGTTCAATAACGTATAAGTAGGCACGGAGTGGAGGGTAAGCCACTGGTTTGCGCGCACACGTTACATATTGTCGTTATTAACAGGCTTTTTTCCATCACACATTAATTTCCGTAATGCTTGTGCTTGTAACATAGTTTTTATTCGAATTTATAATGAATATCTACATAGAAGAATAAAACGAAAATCATATTCACTTTTTATTATTAGTTTTATACGTAGAATCAATACACACGACTTCGGGATATTGACTGTACAACCGTATCTGGTCATAACTGCTGAAGCATATTGCCGTAATACATCCATTTTCTACATGCTCTCTAACTTCACCGTTTTGTCGCATCATGCGCATTACCTGATTCCGAGTACAACCTGAAATATATTTATATACACTTACCAGTGGAGAGTTCAGCTTTCATATTTTTGACGTCAGCAGCGGTCACTTGCTTACCTGTTCTCTCCTTAATACTTTCTACAACTTCATATGTCGACTGACATTGCAATATAACTGGTTTCAAGTTTTCTTTTTCTTCTGATGACAATCTTCTACTTCACGGATCACAAACCATCCAAGAACTACTACACAGATGGTTGTGAGACATGTTGTAAGACTTTATAACGTATTCTTGACCCTTTAGTCTTATACGAAACATCGATTGGCAGTTTAAAAACTTAGACCTTAAATGCCACACATTAGTTAAAGTCCTCACGGTTTTTTATTCACTGTCAAACCTTCTGATTTACGTTAACGACCAAACGTGCAACGAAACACCATGAACAAGTATTTAAATCTCACATCCTTCAACAATCTACTTCCTGCGTGAACGTAGCGTGTATTGGTTATCTGAAAAAACATAGATTTATTCTACCATACTTTATGGAAATCCTTTAGCGAATTATCAAATTCAATCCCCAGACAACCCAAAAAGGGGAAATAAAGGGGAAAAAAGGGGTAAATGCTTTGGTAACGAAAGGGGAAATAAAGGGGAAAACGCATCAGAATGTCGCCTTTTTCGCCTGTCTGGGGGAAATAATGCGGATTTTCCCCTTCTTGTCGACAAATTACCGACTTATCGCCTAAATATCCGCTGAATTTTCGCATTTTCGCCTAAATATCTGCTGAATTGCCGCATTTTCGCCTAAATATCCGCCGAATTGCCTACTTATGTGCTTAATTGTCTACCTTTCGCCTAAATACACACATTACCTACTATTTTCTATCCATCGACAGAACCCCAAAGGTCTCCTATGTTCGCCTTTATTTTCAACAACAGACCAAAATATATCTGCAATGCAGTGGAAAAGCGGTAAATATTTCAAAAATTTTATTTTAAAGGAAAAGCGTATTATTGTACAACATTAGAGCACAAGCTGAAGCATCGATTGTTATGCATATCAAATGCAATTGCTAATTCATTGTTATTTGAAATTATCTGAAAAAGAACGAACAGGTTATAATTTATTCATAAGAAATGTGCATTTAATCAAAAGTTCACTGAAACTCAAACACACATTCTCAACACTTTCCCATGTAGGTAAAAGAGTAAGCTGTTTGAAAGAATGTTTATTGAAATCGAGGTACAACATCAAAACAATTGCACGGACTAATCAGAATTGAGGTAGTCGTCCTGTGAATTCTGAATTTTAAAAAAAAGTCACAACCATATCTCAATGACATGCTTTGGCACAACCAAATACTTGAAGCTGAACTTACGGTTATGTTTGTTAGTATTGTTGACTAACTATAGAGCCGTAGGGAGGTTATCACTTTAAATTAGTACATACCTGATTTTCTTTTCTCCTATTTCGTTTTATCATCTTGTCTCGGATGTCGTGAAAGTAACCTTGTGTCGCGATGTCGTAGAGCTTACCAAGGTCTTTCTCGTTGACAGAGGATGACAAAAAGCGATGAGTTAAGGCATCTGAAGTTTAAGTAATAGATATAGGTTACTTCGTATGCAGCTGTAAAACGTGCATTTCTGTAGTGCTCGTTTAGAAGAGGTGCTAAGTAACGTGAATTTACTGGCCACCTCCGGTGTCAGCAGATGCGACAGAATAAAACGCATGGACGTTTTTGGATCGTCACCTGATAACCTAATGACCATTGCCATCTGTAATAGTAACAAATTATTAAATTCATGTTAATGACTTACATATCTGTCCCTGGTTTCTTTCTGCGACAAACCAGTATCTAGCATCTGTAGTTCCTCTTCAGATGACAAAGGGAACTGCTGACTTGACAGTCCGCAATCGAATTGATGCGGTCTTTCGCGCTCATTAGACTTTGAAAGCAATTGGTTTGCATTAGCATTCAAGTCTATAATGGCGGACGATATGTTGTTAATCGTTTTAGTCAAGTCATTCATAGCTGACGACATCTTCAACACCACAGTATACAAACTATCACAGGTGAAAAAGGTCACTAGATAATGCAGGTTACTTACTGGTCCAATACAGCGCCACCAACATGCTTACATTCCGATGTGGATGGTGATGTCTCTAATTGTGTTGAACTAAATAGTGAATATCTAAATGGTAATTAAACGTACTTGGCGATTGGAGATATCACTTTGTCGAAAACACGAAATTTGGGATATTGTACGCGGCTATTCCCAGCCTGCATCTCAGCCACATCCATGTCGACTGAATTGTAAAGAAAATCTTCTTTACACTTCATTACACCCCTAGGAAATGTAAGTAAGATTATTGTACAGACCTTTTTGGCCTCTCAGTGTTAAGTGGCAAAGTGTTTTCATCTGTTGAGGTGTTTTTCCGCTGAGATTCCAGTATCTGTAGGGCCACTAACAGATCTTTTGCCGACTGCAGAGAATCTATAGTGAATTATACTTTATGTGTATGTCACCTACCTAATTCGTGAATCACTTTACATTTCATGAGTGACCAATTTTCATTCGGTTGGTCGCACTTCTGCAGGTGTATATCGACCAGCTCGTTCGGAAGAAGGAAAAGGTCATTGCCAACTATCCAGTCCTTTGATGCTATCATAAGTTGTTTTTTTTAGGACGTCAACAATAACGTATTTCTTGTTAGTGGGCTGAAAAGAACATAAGACGCAAGTAAATGGTTTATCATCATTAATTAAACATTAATGAAACGAAATGCATTTACAATAAAGTATGCAACAATGGGATTACAACTATGTAATTGGTACAATTGATGGCTATACATTTACAATCAATGTCCTTAACTGAAACCCATGTGTGTTCATGGCTAACTACGGAGCACATAAAGATTCCAATATCACTAGATGGGAAAGGATCTTCAAAGTAATTGCGTGGGTCAATGAAAGTCCTAAATTTTAGTAGTCCATCCTCCTTTATGTCAGTAACTAAACCGAGCTGGCCGTTAACTACTACTACATTATCCGGTTTATATGAACTTATTTTGCTGTTGTTAAACATAATTACTTGTTTAATGGAGATATCATTAGCGCATATTGGGGTAGTATTTGTTAAACCACTAATTTGAAGCCTATCCCTGAAGGACATTCTCTCAGCATAACGCTGTGCTGCTTGCTTAGCTACTGCAAACCCACCACGCACGGAATTCTTAATTTGTCTCACATAAGACTCGAATGGAAAGGCTGAAAAACTATCTAAAGGTCCATGTGCACGAACGTCGTCAGGGAGGTGCTGTAACGAATG